CTGTCACTACCACGGCGATGCCTAATAGCAAATATCACTATTTTTCAAGTTTGTTGCTTTGTTATCCAGAATACTGTCGAATCATTACAGAACACGCAGCTCGTGTTTCAGCACCGAAACATATCCTAAATGCTAAAGGAAAATTCCACATAAGTAAAAGCAGGGTTCAAATGGAAGAGGGTGCAGAGTGTGATTGTGTTGTTTAAGGCAAGAGAAGCATTCCCGATGCTGCAGTTAAGAGAGGTTCCCCGACACACTTCCATCAAGCTGCTCTCGCAAACCAAGCAACTGGGCTTTTTCCTTATGTTTTATGAAAGATGCAAACCAGGCAGACACAAAAAGAAAGCGAAGTGCATCTAAATCTTGAAGGCAACAGGGATCCTACAAATCTTATTTCTTTTCTCTGCTCACCCTAGGTCATGATACAACTGAATATAAAACCCAGCAAATGTTATTTTTGTATCAGGAGCAGCAAAGGAATCGTACTGTAAATTTGCCCTGATTCACCCATGCGAGGGACCAATTTGGCAGATCATCCATCTTGTTCACTGTACACTGTCAGGGATGGCACGAATTCCCTACATGATAAACAGATTTCTTCTCAGGTCTGTGTCCTTTAACCCACAGCAAGGTCAAAATTATGGCTGCCAAGCTAATAAACTGCACGGCGCTCGTTCAAGTTCCCTCTAATTTTGTCCCTTGTGCCAGCTTATACAAATCTTACTGAATAACTAGAGCAGCTGCGAATTTCCTATACAATTCCTCACCCGTGCACTGCAAACCACATGCGCACATGGAGCGCAGAAAAAATCCAAAATAAAAAACCCCACAACCACACAGGACTAAACAAAAGCATTTACTAATGCTTCTTTCTCCCTCTCCTTTCCCTGCCCAGCCTAATTATGTAAACAACAAAGGTAATCTATATTATCATCTATCACCGAAACGCTCTATGTTGCTCACATATTAGCTTATTTATATTTTATATCACACACCAAGAGCTTACTTGAATTTCATTTTTAAGACCAATCTGCTGCTTATTTACTCAGAAAGGTAGGATTATCTGAATCTAATTTTGGAAGGCAGTACAGATGACAAACTGCTTCCCCCCGCCCCCCGAAAGGCAGGTGTACACGGATTTCAGATGAGGCATTATGCGCATATACTACAAATAACTCAAAATATGTTCCCCATTCATTTTTAGCATTTTTCCCTTATGGAAAAACATTTTCAAGATCGCATAAATATTTGAGGAAAAGATCCATTATTTGGAAAAGTCAATTCAACAATCAAATAATGCAAACATTTCCCGTTAATCGACTTAAAAAATTAAATAGATGTTTAGAGTACAAGTGACTGCTGACAGAACAAAGGGGAAAATGGAATGTATTCACTATTACAGATTTAACTGTCAATCCATTTCGCATGTTTTATGAAATAATTTGTCTGTATTCATTCCTCTCAAGTTCCTCACAGGACAAAAAAACCAAATTCAGGACATCTGAAAAATGCATATTAATATTTCAAAAGCAGCAACTGAACATTTCCAATGGAAATAACACATTGAAAGCTTATTTCTTTAAAGTGTGTTCTGCTTTTTTAACCCCAGACTTCACTTTCACTGAAGAAAAGCACTAACTTAAGAGCGAACCGATTTCTTATGAGTGGACGAGTGATGTTCACCGAACATTTACATGTTTTAGTGAGGAAGAGATCATTTTGTCAACACAAGTGTAAAACTGCATTACAGTAGGCTGTGGGTATGCCATCATGCACAACCTGCAATCAACCCCGTGGGCACCGTTTATCGACGAAGTTAAAATTTAATAAATTCCAGATAAACTGTGCTATTCCAAAGGGGTGTTACATTTTGCTTTCCACCAGCCTGTATCCAGTTTAAAACCTGAAGCAAAAGCCCCAAGCCTTCAAAAATAAGGTGCTAGAAGGAAAGAGCTGGAGAGATGGAGAGCATCACCAGTGATGAGGTCACTGCAGAACCGAGGAGTTTTTCTAGTCTTTTCCAGAGAAGCGAGCCATGCCCCGTGCTTTGCAGAGGATGGGAGAAAGATCTCGAACAAAGAGGATCTCCCCAAACTAGCTTGGTTCAAAGATGATGTCCATCAGGTCCTGAGCATGTGACGAAGACGCATCAGTTTAACATGACAACTTTAAATGATCAGGAAACTGTCGACAAACATCATTAAACATTCAAATACACCATAAATAAGTGATCCAAATCTTCTAAAGCTGCAAGTATAACTGAGTCATGAAAGGGCAAAGGCTCTACCGTGCAATTTTATATTATTCATTCAGGATACGGGGTATAGGGAAGTTAGGCACTTCCAACCAATTTTTAAAAGCACATTCAAATCTGCAGCATAGAAAATAATAATCAAATGCAAATCAAGTACTAGGAAGTGATGTCTGCATGAATGGGCCAGCAATCTGAAATATTTGGCAAGTGCAATTGGCCTCCATTCATAGCTAAAACATGGACACAACTGAAACACCACCATTCGCAGTTGATGAAACAGCTGAGAGAGCTACGACCGTACAGTGAAGGAGAGCATTCAAGCCTCTGAAGGCAAATATGTCTTCATAAAGATAAATACATCTGATGCAGTTTGCGAACGCCAGAGCACCGGACTTGGGAACACACCAGTCCTGGCAGAACACACGGTCCTTATTCTTAAGTTAGGAAGTTCTTCAGTTTTGTTTTTTCCTATTACAGTACTAGAGAGGGATGCATAATCTAAAATGAAGATATATAAACGAATGGAAACAAAGTCAACATTATACAAATACCTGCTGTTTTCTTTCCAAATACTATTTTCCCAATATAAAATCGCTGCTTGAATGACCATCTTACCAACAAAACCCCAGACTGCCATCACAGCTTGCCCACTCCCCTCCCCACCCCTTAGCAGTTACCAGTTAAGAAACTAAACAAACTTTGCAAACAATTTAGCACACAGAACTAGGGTCTGTCTAAGCATTTTACAAAACTCATTGAGAACCGTAACAAACGGACCTTGCCTTAATTATGTGAACACAGAAAACCTTTTGTGGTCTTGCGTTCCTTAGCCCAATGGATGAAGCCAAGTCATACTTTGGTCCCATCCATCCTCTACACCTTCTCCAAAGCTTCTATCATGACGGTGCTTTGGAAAATGTGAGAAAGTCTGAAAACAGAGTTCCAGTCTCAGTTCATGGGTTAGGGCAGTTGTCCTGAACTTAACATTAGATTTTCTTATTCTTCTCCAGCTCCGTGCTGGGGTCAGGTCCCCAGTACTGGATCCTGGGTCCTGAACTGCTTAAACACTGGCTGTAGAACATTTTGGACTATGATTATCCCACCGGTGGCCTGCAAATTGCCTGGAAACTCTTCCCCCAACACAGTATCAGCCTGACACGTTCCTCTACGAGGTCTGATCACGTTCTACCACCGTAATGTGACAAAATCCCTATAGGGTGTAACGAACCGCAGGCTGCGCTGGGCTCCGCTCCTGCAGACCGGTGCACGCCCGAGGATCACCCGCTCCGCTCCACAAACTCAGCAGTCACAGACAGCAAATTATATTCTGCAGAACTGCTGGCACTGGTCAAGAAGGACCATTTTTGTGACGTACGGGACCTCTTCTGACCACGGGAAGTAATCGAACACGGCTCTCCATACAAAAGCAGCGGTATAGCTCAGATCCACCACACACTTCAGGACACCTCAGATGCAAAGACTTGCGGGCGACGCCTGCTACAACCTCCCCAGAAAATCATGGATGTTTACGTGACCTGACACCGGTCCCAGATGCATCCCCCTCAACAGAGGTATTTAGATGACGGAGCAGCGTTGAGACACGGATACGGTTTCACCAGTCCCAGAGGCATCACGCCGCTGTCTGCCAGCACGGGCAGATTCCTCCAGTGGAATTTCTTGTATGCACTTTGAGAGCTGGTTTGCCACTTTTGCTCAGATGCTGCCTCAACTCCTACAGTCGTGGCAGCAAACGGACTTTACATCCACTTGTAAATCAGAAACTCGAGAGCGGAGATTTGAACAAGAGCATCTGAATTCACAAGCATAGAACACAAGCTCAACGCACCGAGCCTCTCCTTCCAGCATACTCACCTGCCTGTGAAGAGCACTCTGTACTTCTGCGGCTCAGGGAGAATAAACTGCCCAACCTTTGCTGCTAACACAAGCTTAGCTAATAAGCTGCAAAAGGACTCATGGGGAACGAGGTACAAAACACGGCGAAGTTGGGGAATACCATGCAAAACACAGAAGGTATTCAGGGGCCTCTAAAAGGATTATGAAAAATATTATAAAGACAGCAGGCAGACAACAGCTGCCTTAAGTTTCAGAGCGAACTGGACTGAAAAAGCAGATCCACTATAAACTACAGAGATTTGTCTCTGAAAATTATCTGATCCGCTATTTAAATTTCAATACAGAGTCCTCTATCTGCAGTAATAATAACCTAAATTCCATTTAGTGTTCATTTGAGCAGTCAGGATAAAGTCATTTCTTATTATCTCCCCACTGTGTAAAAAACAGCTTGAAGGTAGGAAGTCAGCAAGCATTTTCACCAAAAAGTAATTATTGTAAGTGACATTTTTACTGCTGGCATGCCATAAGGCGAACTGCACATTTGGAAGGACAAGTTGCTAAAACAAAATGACAGGGTACTCTGTGACATTCCGACAAGAACCCAAACATGATTTAACCGGCGCTTGGTTTGATGTACCACTTCTCGTAACGTCCAAAGCTCGGGCTTCAGGTTCGTGCCAAACTAGTCAAATTCAAAGTTCCTTATCGAGGAACAGCGAGAACCGCCACGTCCTGCGCACGGCGGAGCGGGCAGGCAGCGAGGCATCCCGTGCTCTGCTCATCCCCGTTACGGCAAATTAGTGGGGAAGATGAAAGCAGACAAATGTGGACAGGAGATTTCTCTGCAACCTCTTAAAAAGAGCATTTGCTACTTCAGGGCCTGCATTTACCTCCTCGTGCAGATGAGTTAATGGACAACAGCAGACCTGGCAGGTTGCCCGAGATCAGAGTGTCTCATCCTGGGACTGGATTAGTTTCTGTTCTCCCCTGATGATTAGGCTGCCCATTCTATCCAATTTGTAGACCTAAAACCGGTGTACGTTGTCCTGAGAATGAGGACCTGATCACACAGCTGAGCGGTGGCAACATCCTCAGGACAACCGCGTTATTCTGCTTCCCAGGCTCGGAAAATTTCAGAGGGATTTTTTATTTTTTCTCCGACCTTCCAGCTGATTTTACCTTTAGCCCTGGCTGTCTTTGCAGAGTCTCCTAAAGCACCGTAACATCTCTCCTGGCTAACTGTGCTGCAGTGCAAGTTTGCACTACGTAGTAACTCTGATCAGCATTTGTGGAACTGCACTGCAATACATCCCTCTTTGACTAATTAAAAGAAAATACGCATGAAAGCTGAACGCTTTCTCCCAGGTAGTGGCTTTGGTGGATTTACTTTAAGTGAGTGAACCTTGCCTATTCACAATTTGCAAATTGATGCGGCTTATGAAAATATGATCCTCCCTCCAGTTATAAACTCCCCCAGTTATATGTAGGGAGGATACAAACCTCCCTACTGTGTGCGTATATAATGATGTAAAGTGTGTATAGGTACGTGCAGTTATAGTTGCAGGCACTTGCTATAGTTATGATTATAGATTTCCACTACAACCATGCAGATTTTGTTTCACAAACGTTCTAACTTTGGGGAAAATGTTATTTCGGGTCTTGGCTCAGAGGGAAATTTTATGTGGATGGGGCGAGGGATCAAAAGAAAACCCCTTTAGGGAAGCGTGCAGATGTGTGCGTGTCTGCACTGAAAGGGGAGCAAACCAGCTTCGGTTAACTCTGAAATCACTGGGGCAATACTAAAAATAAAAGTCCCCATTCTGCATATATGTTAGGTGACAGAAGCGCATGAAACTATCTGAACGATCAGGGTAAATGTTAGAAGTACTTGAAAGAACCTGCTTCTGAGTATTGTTAAAGGATTACAAGGTATTGCTGCAATTTTATGTTACATTTCTGATAATTGTATCAGCTTTGCACTTTATTAAGAAGTGTTTTCGGCCATTCTGGAAACCAGAAGGAGAAATCAGACGAAGTTCAGAAAAGAGCAAGTAAGATGGGAGCTGGCAATAGACTCACGAAGAGAGATTTTCAGCTGGACATTTGAAAGTACTTAGAGAAGTTGGGTGACCGTTTCTCCGTTCAATGAATGCACAACCACAACTGCCTCAGCCAGCCTTGGAAATCCCATTATTGTGCCCAAACCCACGTTAAGACTGTGACTTCTCATAGCCAAGAACTGGCAACACATCAGTTTAAGGCATTCCTGTCCTGGCTCCATCCTTTACCTCTGTTGTTGCCTGACACTGAACCACAATTGTGCTGTTCCAAGTGGTTGGGGGAACCAAAGCTGTGAACCAGATTTGAAAAATAGCTGCTGCCACACACCTGCAACACAGTACGGGTGTAAGGGATTAAGAACAGGAATCTGGATCTCTTTCCTGACCTGATTTGCATTGCAAGCCCATTAGCAAAAGGCTGTTTTTTCATGCCAGCCCCAGTGTCAGCATAATGAGGAAAGTCCTAGTGCAGCCTTCTGAGTTAAATGTTGCTCGCGGAACGACAACTGAAGAACACCCTGTGCCCAGGGCCATCCGACCAACTTTAAAACCAAGCAGAGGCATGTCTAGCTGCTGCGTGATCTATGTCTGCTCAGTCTGGATAGCGTGCGGTGAGGAACCAGGGCAGGGGATCGTCCTGCTCGGCTCACAAGCTTCGACCGGGTCAGATCTTCCTCCCTGTGCCTGCCTCTTAAGCCTTTGCCACGTGGAGTATGCCAGTGCCATCAGTTGGGTCTCACCCCTCTTTCTCTGGCCGCTGCAGGAAGGCATCACCGAATGCCCTGGCTGGTGAACGCTCTGCAGCCCTTCACACACGTCTCCTGAGCCCACACCCGGCATCGGCCAGAGCCTTATCACTCTTGGAGAGGCGTGCCGTGCCCCACCGACGCAAAATGCCTCAAGAGCTGAAAAGTTCTGTTCTGCACGATACATGCACCACGCTGCGCCTGGACGCGGGGAGGCAAATCCAGGTGCTGCTACAGGAGGAACGGCTAAGTGACAGAGCGCTGGACAACTGTAAGGCTGCATAAACCCGAATCATCAAACTTCTACTGAATTAGGAGGACTCTGGTACTTGGCTGTCCTCTGCGGCATGGATGGGCTCGGGTGGGGAGTACAGGTCACTATGAAAGGCACCCTGAACATCCAGGATGTCCAGAATCTTGTGCAGAAAGATACAACTGGAGTTAATCCATTACAATTAAAAGTTGCACTGAGATCTACTGGACTTTGGAATAGACACACCAATGCCTGACACAACCGCACCGCCTGATAAAACTTCCAAATAAACAGCATTAAGACACACTTTTGAAATGGGAAGCATGAGATTTCTACATAGCCAAGATTTTATGGGCTATTTTACAACAAATTAATTAAAAAAACCCCAAACAACTTAAGAATTCTTGTTAGCTGGTAGTAGAAACACACTCAGAAACATCAGAGCAATGCTCAGGTCAGGCCAACGCCCCAAATCCTCGCCCGGTCTCACTGGCCAAAAGCAGATGTCTACAGAAGAGGTGAACAAACACAGCAAGCACGGAGGGAGCATCTCCTCAAATGCCCCCCTCTCACACATAGCTTCTTGAGCCAGAAGTAGGGTCTTTGCACTGAAGAGTGTTGAATGATTTTTTTTTTGTTTTTACGTATCACCTTCAAACAATTAAAAAACCCTTTCTAAAAAGAAATCAGATTTTAATTTCTGACTTAGTCAGAAGTCAATATTTAGAAGTAACTGCTGGAAAATATCTTCAATAACCTTATTATTAAAACAGCTTGTGTGCAGAAGCTTTGTTAAGGACTTTCTGAATATTAAAACCAGTATGTCCTGAAAGCAATCAATCAAGATGCCACAACCCCACAGCTATATTCTTAGAATAATCAAAATAAATGGGTGCGCAATACCTTTTGGAAAATAGAGCGAGAGCTTTTAGAGGTTCTGCTGCAGTTTATGGTGTCTTTGTTGACTTGCTGACCTTGTGACTAGAGACTAACTTTAACGCGTTACCATGTTTATGATCGTTTGTTGTGCTCCTCTGTCGTAAGCCTGAGTGTGAAGGTATTTCTATGTCCTCCTTTGAGGTTTTAACCTCTTGTCTGCTCCAGACAAGAGCATGAGGCAGAATGCCTATGTGCGCTACCTTTAAATATATCTCCCCCCCGAACAATGCGGACATTCTTTTGCTACGGGCAAGATACAGCCGGGATGGATCCGAGGCTAACGACTGCCCGCCTTCCGCCGTAGAGAAGTCCTACCTAACATCCCCAGCACGGTGGGTTGTTCTTCGTCTTAGAAGAAAGCAGTCGGAGAGGAGCGACCCTGAACCCCGCCACACTAAATGCACTCCTCTTCGGGAGGAGCACTGGCTGAAGTACTGAAACAAAATGACATTTACATTGTATGCAACAATATTATAAAAGCTATTAAGGTACATTATTTTACACATCCTCATAATCTCTCCATACTGCTTTACTTAATTTGTGATAAAATTGTTGAGAAAGGGTACTTAATGTAGGACAGTCAGTAAAAGTAATTTATCATCTTCCCGCTTCGGTGCTCACGTTATCAGCGAACTCATTTTCTGCATTCATCATGCAATCAGCCTATTATTTGCATATTAATCAGGCAGTGGACCATGAAAGAGCCGCATCCCAGCCAAATGCTGCACTATCTCAGGAGGAACACTCAGTAATTATCATACATCAGTGTTATGATGTGGTAATTGATTATAACATCTTTCTGTTGCCCCTGGGGAGTCCCATTGCTAACCCAGCTTCAGGCATTCTGTGCAGATTTTTCTCTGGAAATTAAGAGAAACCATTGCTGTCCTTTTATTAGATTTTTTTTTTTTTACCTTTACAATAGACAGCGCTCTGAGCATTTCTAAGTTACTTTTGCTTTTTTAAATTTTTTTTTCCCTTTTAAATGAAACCTTCATTAGGAAAAAACCCACCTGCCTCAGATCAGAACAACTAAAAAAAAAACCCAAAGCAAAACAGTTGGGCTCGTTCTTCATCCTCTCTCTTTCAAGGTCTGGTGGCTTTTTAGGTGCTGGTATTGCTTACATAATACCAACACAACAAGATGTTGCAACTTCAATAGACAGTAATTGCAAAGTTCGCATAAAGGCAGTTAAACTGCTTTATTTAGGTGCCAAATGAGAGGCTAATTTTGGTCCTCTCGTAAAGGACAAATGAAACATCTGCCAGTTCAAACTTGCGCTATTTTTAGGACCCACGTTCCAGAGGGGTAAAAGAGAGAAACAAACATAAAACGCACCCGTAGCTA